CGAGGCCCGCGCTCCCTTTCTGGTTCCGCCCAACTTTCTCCCTCTTCCCGAGGGCACCCACCCGAGACTGGCTGCTTCGGAAGGCGGCTGTTCTGTAGAGGTCCCCCTGCTCTTCCAACCAGGGAAGCTGGAAGGGAGACGCGAACTTTCTGGCGTCCCCCGCCCGGCGAGTGGAAATTGCGTGGCCACCTCGGGCCCGCGGACTCCGGAACTCGTTGTTTCAAACAGTGCAGCTGCGGCGCTGCTGCTTTCGCTCCTCGTGGCTATGGAAGTTCTCGTGGAAAAAAAAAAAAAAAAACCTGGAGAGACGGGCCAGCCCAGCTTGGAAGCGGCCAGATTTTACTCGGGTTGCTGCCATACAGTTTAGAAAAGTCCTTAAAAGCAAAAGACTAACCTCAGGATCCAGCCATACCAAGCTTTCTGAGACTTTATTTTTTGGGTGCAGCATCAAACTCATTGGTCGGGAAACCTCAAAATAAAAGGCACTGAGTTGAAATGGCAAAAAGTGTCTTGGGGGCGACCAACGCAGCTTTCCTCCCCAGCAAATGGCAGTAATAAGGTCAATGCTTTATTTCAATTATCGGTGAATTGCGCCGGAAAACAGATCTAATATAATTTTTAAAACCACCTCCCAGACTCTGCGTGTTTCTCCTCCAGAAGGCCCTGGTGCTTTTGCTCTCCCACTCGCCACCATCATTACAGTCCAGGTTCCCTCAGCCTCGGGAGGGTTTGGGGCCGGGGGCAACTCGAGATCGATCCCAGGACTTCACATTTGCCACAAGTCAAGCCCGCTACCACTGAGCTACATTTCCAGCCCTTGTATTTTGAGACGGGTCTAGTTAAATTGCCAGAATGGCCTCAAACTTGTCATTCTCCTGCCTCAGACGGCAGAGTAGCCGAGACTACAGACGCACACCACCACCCCAGCTGATACTTGTATGTGCGAAGGCATTTTCTATTGCTTCATGCACATTGTACTCACTGGTCAGGTCGCACACCACAGCACTCCTCTCTGGAAAGCCTGCTCTCATCCGCGGGGCGAAAGGGGCATCCGGATTACTTACACATTTCCTGCTTTTGTTCTCAGCACATTCTGAGATTACATATTCATGACTATTTGATAATTGACCGGGTAGAGAGAGAGATTGAGAATCATTGGGTCAGTGAATGTTGTCTGTACACCTATTTGCTGGTGCCAGGGAGTGAAGAATCAAGGTTGAATAAGCAAGGTGCTTTCCACGTAATTAAAAAGGCAAAGCATCAGAGGCCTGAGCAGTTTCAGGCTCAGTTTGAAGTTGAGGCCTTCAATCAGGATGACTCAGGCAAGATCTTTGTCCTTGATAATAATGTTTACCCTTTTGTGTAACTGTCCAATGAGTTTTACAGTCTCCTCACGAATAAGTGTCATCGTCATTTTGAAATGTTTATGTCTACTGAACAATTACCACGCTCGAGTCACTGTGCTGAATTAAGATCAAGCCCCAAACCAACTTGCTTAATTGCAAGTACAGATTTGGATGCTGAAAGTATTTTGCCACTTTTATTCTGTTCTATTCTTTGGGTAAATAATGGATGACTTGAAAATTCCAAGTTCCAATGCTGAATTTCTCGGTGGTTGTAGTACTGTTTGTTACATCAGTGTCATAGGCCTAACAAAACAGATTTCTTTCCTGTAAATCCAAGTAAAACTTTTTTTGTATCAATTATGTATATATTTTTAATCATTTCTTCGTTATATTGGTAAATCCCATATTGTACCTGCAAGATCGTTTTGAGTTACTAACCTCACCATCTCCCTGTCACCATCAAGGATCAAGCCACCATTACCCGGATTATTGTTCGGATCTTCAAATGCCACCCCCCACACCACCCATCCCCTTCAGGCTCACCACCAGAGCAACAACAACAAAAAAATTATCCTAACCTCAGTTACACTCTCTACCTCTTTGCTCAGGGCCCTGCAGTGGCTTCCTATCTCACAAGAGCAAAAGCCAAAGCCCTTCCAGTGGCCTAGAGAGACCTCCCATGAGTGGCCTGGTCTCCCCACCACCACCCTCTGACTCATCCCCACCCACTCTTCCAGGAGCTTGCTGGCTTCCTGTTTTCTCGGGACTTTTGCCTTTCGTCTGCCTTTGCCTGAGAAAATCTTTCCCAACCGCACATATCTTTCTGTCTGTGTGCCTGTCTTCTCTACTTGGGTCTCCTTTCTGGATTACCTTGTTCGATGCGTGCAGCTGCATTCTAACAGCAGCTGGGTCCTTGCCTTGTTTGTTTGTTGTCTGTCACTTTCCCTGCATTAGAATATGAACTCAAGAGTTCAGAGTTGTTGTTTTTTTTTTTTAATTCATTCATCGATGCATTAGCAGTATCTAGACAGAGGTAACATATAGGCATTCAATAAATAAAGTATCTGGTGGGCATTCATTTACTTCACCAATGTGAAGTAAAGAGCTTACTACTAAAGTAGGGCCTACTACTCTGCTCCAGGCAGTATGTTAAAAAATAAAAAACTGCCCTCTTAGAGCTTACAGTCTTGTGAGGACACAGATAATAAGTGCATTTCAGGTGGTGATAAATGCCGTAAAATAAGGAAATGAGATAGAGGGATGAGTAGGGTTACTGGCCTATACAGAGTGGCTGGAGATGTATCTGCATGAAGGTGACATGAGCTCATGATCAGAAAGAGACGGCCACGTGACATTAGAGAGGCAGAGCATTCCAGGCAGAAGCCAACCAAATTAAAGGAGCTTGGACAAGAAACATGCTTCCCAGTGGTTTATAGAATGGATCATCTGCTTGAATCCTGTAAACCTCTGAAGCACTCTTGAAATGATCCTTGAGTACAAACTCGGATGTGAAAGAGACTGTGAGTTTACGCTTGCGCAGCAGCGTTCTGTGCTGCCCTCGTGCCCGCCTCCTCACCGGTTGTACTTCACACAATGAGCCAGTGATATTTCCTTAGAGAAGCCAGGTTCCGCACAAGACATAATAATGAATGAAACTGACTTAAGACTGAAGAAATAATTGTTTAGCCAAAGAGAAAAGAAAAGACAAAGGCTCCCCCAAAACAGGAAGGAGGCCTTATGGCTAAAGCCAGACTGAATAATTATTAATAAGAAATTAATTCTGTGTGTTCTGCTTCTTGCCTATTGGTTGATATCACAAAATGTATGAGGAAATATAATTGAGAAACTTCGATTCTGGGGCTGGAGGGCCTGAGTATTTATAGGGGAAAGTGAGTCATAACTTCAGCATGTCCCCCATGTTAAATATGCTTAATTAAAAGGAAGTGAGAAGGATTTGGAAAACTACTAGCCCTCTGTGCAATTTCAACTCATTTTCTCGTAATAAGCACAGTGCATCATTGGGCATTGTTCCTTTTCAAATGACTCTCCTAAGAGACAGTATCCTTGGAAATGCATTGTCCTTTGATGCCAAAGTGTATGCATTGGAATCCTCTGTATCTAAATTCTCACCTCATTCCTTCCTTCCTGCTCTCCCAATCAGCTTTGCCCAGCCCCACCTCAGCAAAGCACTTAGTAAATATTCTGCACCCCGAAGAATTGAGAAGAGGAATGAGGAACATTAAAGAAACAGAAAGCTGAAAGGGAGAAATAACAGGGGTGAGATGAAGGGAATACTTCTAAGGATTGAATGAATTTAGTATATGTGAAAATGAACTCTTAGCTATAAAGCACCATTCAAGTGTCAGAATCATTATTTTGCAGCAGGCATTTATCCTGGTGCCTGACAAGTGCGCTCAATAAATACTGAATGGATAAATGAATGGCAGAAATGTTAAAATGAATGATCTAGTGAAAGAGGAGAAGAAACAGAATCAAAAATTGTCCTGCACAGATGTTTGGTGCATTCGTCATCCTCCTGATATGTGTAAATCTTTTGTTTGCAAGCTTTAAAACATTTTGACTTTTTACACTCAGAGGGAGAGTAAAATTGGGTACAAAAATTAAATGACAATAAGTTTAAGTAAACTAGGAAACAAAGTCATTGTAACAAAGTCATTAT